TTGGCTCAGCGGTTAGAGTGTCAGCCTGCAGTCCAGAGAGACCCAGGTTCAGTTCCCGCTAAGAGCGTACACCTCGGTTGCAGTTTGTCCCCGGCCCTGGTTGGTCGTGCGGGTGGCAGCCACTCGATGTGTCCCTTTCACGTCAATGTTTCTCTTTCTTCCTTTCTCTTTCTCCCTCTCCCTCTCTCTCCCTCCCTCCCACTGTATCTGAACAAAAAATGGAAAAATGTCCTCAGGTGAGGATAAAAAAAAAAAATACATAACACAAAGCCAACTAAATAAAGAGAAGCAGAAAAGTAGCTGAAGAAAGCAAAATTAATAAAGATCTTAGAACAATCAATAAAACAAATGGTGCATTAAAATCTTAAAAATACTCCCTGTAACCCACAAGCAAAATCTACACTAGATAATCATAAGTAATGAAGTTGAATTCAAGGATAAGGGAGTAAATGTTTAAATCTGGACCAGTTAAACTAATTGGGTCTCTTCTAAGAACTAAGGGTTCTGCATTTGGCACAATACATCAAAAATTCCACTGAGATTTATAATAAATACTCAGTTTGGGGGCCAGAAGTAAATTTAATTCAATACTGCACACACGTTAAGCATATCCAATGTATATATTAGCTTTTCAAATTACATTTAACCTGAGCTCAAGGATTAATGAAATAAGGCTGAGGTAGGTAGGGCAAGGCTCTTCTACAATGTTAACTCTGAACTCATCTGTTAATAAAAAAGATATTCTTTCCCTATATATCTTTTCACCAATTGATAATCTCAGAACAACCTGAGACACCTCTCCTATGTGGCCAACTCTTTAACATTACTGTGTATCAGCGATTTTCAACTGGTGTGCTGCAACAATGTTTAAAACATGCAATACCTGACTATATTGTCGGGGGCACTGACTTATTTTTCCTTAGATTGTCAAATAAAAAAATGACAACAGCCAACACACCAGTAGCATTGGTGTAAATGAATCAAATTACACTTTTTTTTTTGTCAGAATGGCAAAAAAATGTATTTTTTTGCTGTGCCGCAGAATTTCAGTAGTTTGTGTATGCCATGAGATGAAAAAGGTTGAAAATTGCTGCTATACAGCCTTCCTTTTTCTTAGAGTTCTCTACTCCTGCTAGTCCTCTTGACTTCAGTTCTTTTCTTTTCTTCACATTATCCTGTACTAAACAGTAATATCCAGATGACAAAATCTACTTTCTCAAATACAATCCATCTTCATTTTAAGGTTCTAGAGCCCTATTCCACCAGAATACTCAGCTGTTTTTATTTCTATCTGCCCTTTCAGGTAAGTTCTCTTCCAGGGTTCTGTGCACACTCTTCTCGCCTACTCAACTCCCATGTCACTAGGCTCTCCTTTCCTAACTTTTTAAAAGTCTTATTTTGTATAATCTGCCTAATCAGCATTCCCTCTTGCTCCCTTCCAAGCCCAAGAACAAGAGCTATCAACCCAAGACTTCACACGAGACTTAAAGAATATCTAATTATGAAAACACTAAATAGTAAAAACATAGATGCCATTCTAATCTTTCAGTTATTTCCAGTTTTTCTTTTTTAATCCTCATCAGAGGACATTGCTGCATTTATCTTCAGATAAAGTGGCAGAAGAGAGAGAAAGAAACATCAATGTAAGAGAGACACACTGACTGGTTGCCACTCACATGACCCAAACCGGGGCTGGGGACAAACTGCTACTGAGGTCCATGCCCTTAGAGGGAACCGAACCCAGGACTCTCTGGTCCATGAGCCGATACTCTAACTGCTGAGCCAAACCGGCCAGGGCTCCAGTCTTTTTTTCAAACAATGCGTCTCTATTCTAACTTTAACACTGAGTTATTCCCATGAGGGAAAAAAGTAACCAAGTATTCAAATTCTAATGCAGTTATAATGAATCTAATTTCTGTAACCTGATTTTAACCTACAAAGCTAAACTATCAGTTGTCTTATTTTACAACCAACAGATAGGCATTCAGCAGCCAAGCTTTCCCTATCCACCTAGTCCAAATCCTTCTAGCCGCTTAAAATCCAAACTTTTCATTTCTCTTCTCAAACTCAACAGATAAAGCCAAAAAACATGAGCATAGAAATTATTCTGTTCTTAATCCTCACCCAAGGATATTTTCCCACTGATTTTTAGATGGAGTGGAAGGGGGGGAGGGAGAGCAAGAGAGAGAAACATTGATGTGAGAGAGAGAGACATCCATTGGTTACCTCTCACAGGATCCCAACTGGGGCCAGGGATCCAACCTGCAGCAACCCAGGTATGTGCCCTGACCAGGAATCAAACCCGAGACCATTCCGTCAGTCAGCCAATGCTCTAACTGCTGAGCCAAAATGTTAGGGCAAGCATAAGAATTATTCTGGCTAAAAAATTAAAAACTACAACCGACCATGTATCTCCAACTCTTTCAAAACTCTCTGTCACTAATGCAGTAAGGAGAAACATGACCTTAGACTTATTTTTAGTTATTCATATTACAGAGGTGATATTGACAATTGACAGTAATCAAACAAGGACAAGAAATGGTGTCCCGCCCTGGCCAGTTTGGCTCAGCGGTTAGAGCATCCGCCTGCGGTCCGCAGAGACCCGGGTTCGGTTCCCGCTAAGGGCATGTACTTCGGTTGCAGTTTGTCCCAGGCCCTGGTTGGTCGTGCGGGTGGCAGCCACTCGATGTGTCCCTTTCACATCGATCTTTCTCTCTTCCTCTCTCTCCCTCCCACTCTGTCTGTACAAAAAATGGAAAAATGTCCTCGGGTGAGGATAAAAAAAAAAAAAAAAAAGAAATGGTGTCCCTAAAAGGATCTTCAAGCTAGCAATAGGAGACCCAATAAAAAACTAAAGCAGTTTAATCCACTCAGAGCTTCCTACAAAATATTGCCACTTTTCTTACACAATCTCTAATACTTTCTTTCTGGTAAAATTGCTTCTTCTTCTTCTGTTTTTTATCTTCTCCTGAGGACATTTTTGCATTTATCTTCAGATAGAGCGGGAGGGAGAAAGGAAGGAAGAGAGAGAGACATCGATGTGAGAAAGACATATCGACTGGTTGCCACCCACAAGACCCCAACTGGGGCCAGGGAAAAACTGCAACCAAGGTTATGTACCCTTAATAGGAACCGAACCCGGGTCTCTCTGGTCCGCAGGCCAGGGCTCTAACTGCTGAGCCAAATCAGCCAGGGCTGTAAGACTTTCTTTTTTTATTATTATTATTTTTTTTATCCTCACCCGAGGATATTTTTCCATTTTTTGTACAGATAGAGTGGGAGGGAGAGAGAGGAAGGGAGAGAGAGAGAGAAACATCGACGTGAAGGGACACATCGAGTGGCTGCCACCCGCACAACCAACCAGGGCCGGGGACAAACTGCAACCGAAGTACGTGCCCTTAGCGGGAACCGAACCCGGGTCTCTCCGGACCGCAGGCCGACGCTCTAACCACTGAGCCAAACTGGCCAGAGCAAGACTTTCTTAAATCACACTACGAAAAAGGTAAGTGAAATCAAACAAGCTGAAATATGTACAGATAGAAAAGGCATTGTAGTACCCTGTTTCTGGCAGTAAACACAGTAATTTGTATCCAGTGGCAAGACTTTAATTGTATATGTGCTTCCCAAAACAGAATCTTTTAAAAATATATTACAATGATGAGCATTACACCTTTCCAAAAATATACAGTGCCTAATGAAAATGTTTTAATTAGTGCCATCAGACCAAAATGTTCATTTTACTTTAAATTAATAGATAACTGCCTCAGGAGGGGGCTTTCCAGGAAATGGAGCCAACACCTTGACTTTTTTTGTCATTTATCTTATTAGAAAATTAGTAAGTAAATTGATAAAATATCACACACAAAGGCTTCTGATCACAAATAAAATAACAACATTGTTTGAAACAATGTAATACTTGAACTTACTTTCCTATACACCTAAATGACTGGCATGTCATTAAGGAAAACATTTTAAAAGTACTTAAGCGAGTAGTAATAGTTCAAGGTTTGGCCTCATCAGTCAACAAACAAGTCCTTAAATCCAATACGAGCCTATAAAAGACTGAGCTTGGGTCCATAAAGGAAAAAACTTCTAAAAACAGGCAGCAAAATTCAGAGACAATTAAAACATTTAAATCAAAAGTTCTATTTAATCACAACAATTTCAAATGACTTCTTACTTTATATGCCAGGCTCTAAGAGCTTTACTTATCTCATTTAACCCTCACAACAATTTCCACTTTACAAATGAGTAAATTAAGCACAAAGAACTTAAATAACTTGTATTTATTTACAAGTTTATTCCAAGTCCTGGCAGAACACATACACAAAACCAAATGGTCTGACTCCATTCAAGTACATTTCTCCCTATCAACTATTCCCACTTCTATTTCCCCAGATAGAATTAAATACTTAAGATAAAAAAAATAAAATCAAAACTACTTAGTGACTTCTGGAATGAGTTAGATATTCAACTTCTAAATATCTCTCATCTTCAAAATTAAGAACAGGTTTTAGCCTTCAGATTCCAAGCAGAACATACTTATTGGAACAAAGTATCATGTGGAAGATACCAAAACAAACAAAAAGCTCCCCCAAGTTATCATATAAAGCAAGGTTAGGCAGACAATGGTCTGTAGGCCAAATTCAGCCCTTGGCCTGTTTTTATACAGGCCTCTGGCTAAGAATGATATTTACAATTTTTAAAGGGATGTTAAAAATAAAACAAAGGACTTGCAGCAACAAACCTAAAATACTTACTATCTAGTCCTTTACAGAAAGTTTGCAGACTCCTGATCTAAACTACTGAATAAAGGGGTTTCCTCCCCCTCTATCTGAAACTGCTAAATGCACAAAACAGCTAAATGCACAAACTGACTTGTAAGATAAAACTACATCTAGGTAGATAAAATAAGTGGATTCCCTTAGTTCCAAATCAAAGAACAAAACCTCTGAAGCACACCCCCCAAAAAAGGGCAAAAATAAGTAGTTCCCTCTCACCAGGAGGTGGCAGTAGATTCCTCCAGAGGCAAGGTTCTGGTTTGCCCATGGGCTCAAGTGTTTTGTGGTGGCTATTAAGAAAAGCAGCTTGACCTTCCAGAGCTGACTTTCTGGGCCTGACAATCTGCACAAAAAGGAAATCGGAAAGGAGACTGAACAGGTAACAAGAACTAACCACATCCTCTTTACTGACCTACTCATTGCCAACTAGAAAAATGACACCATTTCCTAAATACATGTGGGCTAAGAAGAATTAAGGGGTAGGAGAGAAAGCAAGTGAAAATGATTCAAGGGATGTTCTTCATTTATGAGTCTACAATAAGTTACTGCCCTTCAGTTAGTTGAGTAAGACAATGGATTTCTGTATCCATAACTTCAAGCAAGATGGCATTTTAAAGATCAAAAGTAAAAAGGCAAACTTTAGATATATTTCAGCAGAGCTAAACCAGAAGAAGTCAAAACAGGAAATTACAAGTCAGTTAAACACATGCAAAACTCACAGGTACTGTGTGACTGCACAAGCCAGTTAGCCTGACAGGCAATGGCAAACATCCATTAACTAACAGTGCCAGACCTCTCATTCTTATTCCAACCCTCTACCACACAACCAAAAACGACATTTTTGCTCAGAAATCCTTGGACACTTAATCAAATAACATTAGTATAAAACATGCCATGTCATGAAGTTGCTTGCTATTCATGATGACTCAGCAGCTGCTGCAAAACAGAGGTGACAGCCTAGGATAGCAGACAGCAAGTCCACAAAAGTTCCAGTGAAGAGTAAAGAAAGTCCTTATTTTAAGATTTAAAAAATCAATATTAAACAGAGTATTCTTTTGTATATTCCTGGATACTTTCCTCTGGTAGTTTCTGACAATATTAAGTAATACCTACAGTGTTGATCAACAAACCCCCAAACATGTTTAATACCAATTCAAAAGCTAAAAATGTATTTTCTTTTTCAATTAAATGACTGAAGCAAGACTGAAAGTATTTTAGATGGGGAAATGATAAATTATCAAGCTCTAAAACAAAACCACACAGCCTAAAATTATATATATCAGTTCTAAGACAAGCTGGCTCATAGGTGCTATGTTGTTAAGGCATCATTTACCCAAATTTAGATTGTTATCTAAGTACATTTTAAAATAAGCTATGATAACTTATGCCACCTGAAATCTATTAGCTCCTTTCTAAACTCTGCCCAGACATTGATCTGTATTTAAAACCTTCCCTTTTTTTATGTACTAACTTTTTCTTAAGGAGATCTAAGAAAGCACTCAGAGACATTTATTCTTCAGAAGAAACCGAAAGCACGTTTCTAACTTCCATTCTACAAAAGGATTAGGTTAAATTGCCAGACCTGTGATCTGAATTCTAATCTTAAACCTGCCTGCAAGAACTCCTGTTCCTCACAAATAAATCTGAATACCAAGCACTTACTTTCTTTATATATCTGGGGAAAAAACTGGCGGGAGTAATAATAATGCCAAGACTTCTAACCATTAGTAGAAAGCTATTTAATACTATAAACCACAATTTTTGCTATTAAAAATCTCCCCAAGTCTTTATTTTCAAAATGGTTTTTTAATGATACAATTTAACACCACCAGCAAGCATGTTAGTGTTCCATATTCATCATCACTCAAAATAAAGCAATCTAAAAGTGTACATTTAAGAGTATGCAACAAGTTATCAGACCCTTCTGATATAGTTTTGCTTTTAAACAAGTTTAAGATATACACTTCCCACCTTAGTATCATTGCGTTTTATACGTAATTTTTATTAAAATAAGCTAACTTTTTCCCACTCAATCCCCTAAAAAACAAGTAACATTAAAAATGGAATTTTCTCAGAATCAAACGCCTCATTTACATCTAGGATAAACTCCTTTTCATAATTTCAAACTCCCATGAATACACAAGGTGGTTAAATGATAAGAGCACCAACATTCCTGAGTGTCAAAGTACCCAAACTTCTGGAATACGCCCCATAATATTAAAATATTTTGTGCATGAGATCAGAAGTGACGTCCTAGTCAACTGTGCATAATGGCCAATTCTAATCTCCAAAATAATTGGAGTTGTAGAGCAGATGCGGGGAGGAAACCGTCTCGCAGCAGAGAAAGGACGTTAAGGGTTGAGAGGGACTTTCAAAATGCCCCAGTGCTAAGGTAACAGTAACCAGGTTAAGGAAAAGAAAAAAAATATCTAAGCCAATGTTCTCAGATCAAGAAGAGGACATGGGCAGAGGAGAGGGAAACTAATTACTGGCTTGAGACGAGGTTATTCCACTTTCTGGGTAACAGCGCCCCCGCCAATCCCCAGTGCCCCGGAGACAGATATCCTCGGGGCAGCCCCCTCCCCACAAACACTGAACCGCAGGAGACTAGTTAACAAGCCTAGGTGCCTCCAACCACACCTTCGGGCTTTCTCCCTCCAGAAGACGGGAGTAATACCATCAAATCCCCAATCCCCGCCAAAAGCGAAAGAAACGCGCGCACCGTAGGCCCAGAATTTCTGTTCCCGCCCTGCGCCGGCTGGGGAAGCCCCAGCCAAGGAGGGTTGGAAAGAGGCGTCCCGAACCACACGTGTGTGCGCAAAGATCGGCCTGTCTCAACCCACTTCCCGTCACCACCCCAGCGGGCTGAGCTCCCGCCGCCTCGCACGGGCCTTTCCTCAGGCCCTCCCGTCCGCTCCACGTGGGGCGCCAGGGCCCCTCACCGCCTGTTCCCTCCCGCCAAGTTCCCGACCCGCAAAACCACTAGGGAGTCGGGGTCCCGTACCTGGTGCTTTTGTCGCCCCTGCTGGTAAGGCTTAATTGGCCCCTGGTGGCAGCGCCGCGTCCGGATCTTACCGCCACCGCCCCCTCCTAGTCCTCCGGCTCCCGAGGCCATGGCGGAGCCTCCGCTGCTTCCCGCTCCGGGGCGGGTAAGGGGGCGGGAGAGGCAGAGGCGGCCGCCTTAGAGCCACCCTCCGCCCACCCCCAGCCCACAAGTCCGTCCGCGCTGCCCACACTGGAGGCTACAGGCACACCAGGAACCGCGAGGTGGCGAGCACAGTGGAGGGAGAATGCGCGCTGGCAGCAGGGAAGGCGGTGGCGGCGACAGAGGCCGAGTAGCTGGCTCCGGTCCGGTAGCCACTCGCAGACCCCCTCCTCTGTATGTGTCACGGTCTCTATGGAGATCTCCCGCAGAGGACAGGGCGAGCGGCTCCAGGCGCCGCTTAGGCCTAACTCCACCGCCGGCTGATGGGGATTCTTCTTCCGTCGTCCTAGCCGTGGCTGCCGCAGTTGAAGCCGCCGGCGCCGCCCGCCTACCACTCCCCTCTGCGCACAGCGCCCGCCCTGGCGTCGTCGTCCCTGCAGTCGCCGCCGTTGTTGCGCCTATTGCCGCTGCTAACCACGCCGCCGCGGTCGCGAGCCAGGGCGTCGTCATTCGTCAGCGCCCGACGCGATTGCATCATCGCGCTGCGACCGGCTGATTGGCGAGAAAGGAGGAAAGGCTGATCGAGCCCGCGCTCCGTGCCGCGGGGCACACTGGAGAACGTAGTTCAGCGTAAAACCGTAGTTCAGCGTTAAAACGACTCGGGGTGGGGGGGGGGGCGGGACGCGGAAGGAGACCTGCGGATCTCTGCAGAGGCACCAAGCCAGGGGCCCCATTCCTTTTACTCCTCTTGGCTGTAAACTTGGACTTTGAAAAAGGCGTTTAACCTCTTTCCCACTCTACTTCTCTCCATTGGTAAAGCGGCCAGAAAGAAGTAAGGACTTAGCAGAATCAAAGACAGCAGCCAATAAAGTCTTATAAAAACTGGTTGGAAAACAATATACATGATATTTAAGTCTAAACCAGAATTAGAAAATATATAGCTTCATTAATATTCCATTAAACTTATAAGGGCTTTCTTGTCTAACATACAAGGGCTGGAATTCTGGCTCTGCCACCCTATCGCTTGACCTTGGGTAAGTCAAAATCCTCTTGCTTCCTCTTCCATGAAATGGGAACTTTAAAATTCACTTTATGGAGCTGTTGTGATCATGTATATAACGCATGTTTCTGGTATACAAGAAATCAAATGAAATGAAATACATGGTTACAATTACTACCTATGCAGTCAACTCACATTAGAGGTAAGTGATATGTTACCAGTAATAAAAGTGTGTGTGTGTGTGTGTGTATACATATATGTATATATAATACATACATATGTACATACATATACAGACATATATACACAGACATATATGTATATATGTATGTATATGTTTACACACACACACACATTTTTTTGTTGTTAATCCTCACCTGAGGATATTTTCCCAGTTTTTTGTTTGTTTGTTTGTTTTTGTTCTAAAGTGGAAGGGAGAGAGAGAGAGAGAGAGAGAAAGAGAAACATCTATGTGAAAGAGACACATCAATTGGTTGCCTCCTGCACGACCCTAACCAGGGCTGGGGATCAAACCTGCAACCCAGGTACCTGCCCTTGACCAGAATCGAACTCGTGACCCTTTAGTCCATGTGCCAATGCCCTAACTGCTGAGCCAAACTGGCTAGGACAAATTAATATTTCTTGAATTCATTTGTTCGTGAACATCATGAACAAATCCATATGATAACATTATATAGAGGCTGTCACATAATCCTCACAATTCTGAGAGGAATTATTATCCTCATTTTACTAATGAAGAAACTCCACGTTTGAGGGGCACCGAAGAAATAAAATAATAATTTTAAAAATTTACCTTATAAATAATGGTAGATTAAATATCTGAAATGATTTCTCCTCCTCCTTACTCCAAAGCCCATGCTCTGGCCTTTGCCATCACTGCTATTTTTGTAGTCAATTTAGGAACCTGCCTACCACTCAAAACATTTTTTCTTCTAAAAGATATTTTTTTTCAGTTCAATGGAGTACTGATGGCCTCTGCACTGACTAAAATGTTTAGATTCTGATCTGTTTTACTGTGTAGTGAAAATGGACATTTTCCAATTGTATATATGTGCTAGCCATTGGAAAGACCAGACTCAAATAGCTGGCTTTGAACCACCTGGGAATACAAGGACCTTCGTCATGGCATGGGGATATGAGCTTGTGGTGTAAGATAGGAGTGAAGAGTACACCAGCAGGGGTATTTGGGTATAAGGAATATTGTGCATTAGACCTCTGAGTCACAGAGAGAAGCTATGTTAGCAATAT